CAAGTAAGGCGTGAGGCTGGTCCTCACTTGCCTCACAATGTAAATCAGGGGTTGGCTAGGTGTGCTCACCTGAGAACATGGAATGCAGATAGATTAAACATGAGATGAATCCGATTTTTTACGAGCTTTCTCGGACGAAAGCAACTTTACTGGATTCTGTCTGGTGCGGTTGACGATACGTCTCCAACATAGAGATTTTCCTAGTATATCCAAGTGGGCATTGTACCAGCCGGAGGAATCAAGGATGAGCAGAGTACCAAAAAAAATCCCGATTCCTGTTGTTGATCTCAATGTGAACCTGAAGCAGTCTCGTTGCCGCGGGCAAAAAAGCACGTTGGCGGCCGAGTCCAATGTTTGGATGAGAATACAGCGCCCACTTGGCACATCAACCGATGCTTGCTCCCGTTTGGGGCGCAATCTCGGGGTGGACATGGCCCAAGGACGATACCCACTCATGACCCTCTGTTGGCATTTTCGCCAGCTCTAGCCGGGCGACTCCGACCCCCGTAAGCGGCGGATTCGGCCCCCTTTTTCGCCGGACGTGGTTCCAGACGGGGGAGGCGGGAGGCCTCTCGGAGCGTCCGGGGAAAAGCCGTTGAATCTCGAATTCGGCCGTCCGGTGGCCGCTGAAGCTGTAAAAAAAGAGTTTTTCAACGAAGCGCGTCGAGCAGAATTTGGCAACCCCAAAAGACGTTCGTCACGATCGCGCAGAGCTGAGCTGGTCAGTGACCTCGGTTTCGTGTGTGAAAAGTGCGCAGATCGATGGATGCTAAAAAGTCTTGGCAGAGGTTCCAGTCTTGGCATCATCTCCTTTCCAAAAGTCTTGGCATCACGTTTCTGGAGAAGTGCCGTGGGAATTCCTCGAGCTAAATGGAGACTGCACATTGGTGGGAAAAGGGGGCGGCACACAGACAACGAACCACCCCCTTGCCAGGCTGCCGGGTTCAAGCGTTGTGGCCCCATGGGCTTTGTTGTTAATGTTGATTGAGGCCATCCGATCTCCGCTCCATGTGCCTGTCGCCCAGTATCCGTACCCGCGTTGGATTCACACACCGCTAGAACAGGCAATAGAGCGACGGAGACTGACTCTATTTTTCCTTCTCTACCTTGTATCATTGCAACAGAAGTCGGGGCCAGGGCCGATAACAGCCAGGTGACATTGAGGGATAACCCAAAAAGCCCATTGTCGCTGCGCGCGCCCCGCGATGCACTGCAGTTTGCGACTCTGCCTACAGCGACTGTAACGTCCACCCACATTCCAGACGGCACAAGTTGGTGATATATTGCAGAAACTGGAGATCGTTTGACCAATCGCGCGGCGCATTGAAAGTAGCGGGGTCCTATGTATTTTGAACATCAGCGACCGTAGTGTAATGATTCAATGCTTGATCCACATATGACGGAAGAAGACTCTTTCAGTAGCATGTTGAATCGGATTAAATCAACACTGTCTCAGAGTCAGAAAACCTGCTCCCGTTGCCCGTAGCCGCTGTAGAGTTGGCCCGTCCTCACTCAGTGTCAGCGGTACCCCGGACAGTCGATTAAGGTCACGAAAGTTCAGCAGGGGACGGAAAGCATGATCTTTTAGCGGGCATTGCGGTGAAGGTTACGGGTAATGACTTGCGCAGCGCACCAACTGGCCAGTGAGCGACCAACAGTAATATCAGGCTCGCCACGGCTTAAGACTTTGTCAAGTCATGATCCCTGGCCCCAGGCAATAAAGCGGTTCGGTTCAGTTGGCGCCGCGCTCCACCAATATCGAGTCTATCGATAGCATATGCGTATCCTCTTAACCTTTGTAAGGTTATTCGAGAAAAGCTCTAGCATCAAGGTCAGGGTTAGACGAGCGCTACGGATAGAACAAGTCGGCTTGCTGCCAGTTCGGCAAATGCCAGCTCAGAGGCGTCCGTCAAGGTGCCAAAGTCCCCAACGCATTTCCATTTCCGTGAGCTCGGGAATTACTCAGGACCAAGGTAACGGGTCTTATCTAAATGGAAGTTGGTTCCATCTGGAGCCCCAGTTCATCTCCCTTCGATATACAACCGAAACATGGGTGGCGGCGAATGGGAGCGCTTCCCGCGCGCTAGCGTTGCTTTCGAGTGCACGGAAACATTGCGGATTATGGCCGACTTTTTGGCTCGTTTATTTTTTTTCTGCTCACTCCGAACGGCTGGCAACGTGACCTCACCGAACCTCAAACCACCCGACTTGTCCCCAAAAAGAAGACTCTCCACTCATCTTTGACATGGGTTAATTCTTTTTCACCAGTCAATCACCCCTGTGACAGCCCCTGACATGTTTCATGGTCCAGAATGCAGAAAGCGCCACTTTTTAGACAAATACGAAATGTGAACCGTCTCTGGACTGGTACGGATACAGACAATACGCTATGCCAACTCGCTCACGGGTCTGATGGGTTTGCACAATCATGCCCCCCCTGAGCCGATGGGCAAATTGGAGATCTAAGAGTCAAACGGCCCTGTCCTTGGCGCTGCTCATGCCTTGACATCCTCTTTGGGCAGTCATTCTGCCCCTGTGATCAGCCAAACATGTTGTTCCTGCGCGAAGGTTGCGGCTCGCCGAAGCGTCCGAACCATCCTCCGATATCAAGGTGGATCATATCGACAGGGGAGGAAGGCTGTGCCCGAAATGAATCGATTGTTTTTGCGCCCAGCTGCAATCCGCACTTTTGCCCCTAAACCCCGGTCAACTCAATGTGAAGCCTGGTGCCATCACTTGCCGCGGCGCAGGCCATATCGCACTCAATCTCACTCCATCGTGGACCGGGCGGTACACTAGAAGTTCTGGATGGGCCTCAATCACCCTAGCCCTGGCGAAAGCTTGTATCTGTGAGCTGGACCAAATGCGAGGTCCCACTGGAAAAGTCTTGGCTGAGGGATAGGACTGCAGAATCAGGATCACTGCTTGCAGATGGTGGTGTGGACTTGGCACCAGTTCGGGGGGAGCATCTCGAGAGCATCTCTTCGATATAAGAAGGCGCAGATTTCCTGCCCATCAACGTCTCTTTCTTTCCTCTCCATCCTCTCATCAGCATCTTCCGCTACCGTCTCTCCTTTACCAATCCAACTACTCACATTCTTTAACCCTGGTGGTTATTCATTCGTTGTCAACACTCATCCAACTATTCCAACTCTACGTGTTTTCTTAAACCAACCACCACTTTCAAAATGAAGTTCTCCGCTGTCCTCGCTGCCATCTCTGCCTCTGCCGTTCTCGCCGCCCCCGGTGGCCAGTCTGGCCCCAACGGCGCCGCCGCCATCGAGAAGCGCGCCTCCTTCCCCATCCCCGCCTCCAAGGGCACCGTCACCTACAAGGCCGCTCAGTCCGTCAAGGGTACCTTCGACGGTGGCATGAAGACCTACGGCCGTGGCGTCAAGTGCACTGGCCAGGCTGAGGGTGGCGACAAGGACGCCGTCTTCCTCCTCGAGAACGGCGCTACCCTCAAGAACGCCATCATCGGTGCCGACCAGATCGAGGGTGTCCACTGCAAGGGCTCCTGCACCATCAACAACGTCTGGTGGACTGCTGTCTGCGAGGATGCTCTCTCCCTGAAGGGTGATGGCAACGCCTCCGTCATTGGCGGGTAAGTAACATTCTGGTCACCGTCATACCCAATACAATTGCTAATAATACCTCTACAGTGGTGCCCGCGGCGCTGAGGACAAGGTCATCCAGCACAACGGTCTCGGAACCGTCACCATTGACGGCTTCACCGTTGTCGACTTCGGCAAGCTCTACCGCTCTTGCGGCAACTGCAAGACCATGGGCAAGCGCTCCGTCGTCGTCAAGAACGTCAAGGCCTACAACGGCAAGATGCTCACCGGCATCAACTCCAACAAGGGTGACACCTCCACCATCACCGGCACCTGTGCCACCTCCGTCAAGGAGATCTGCACCGAGTTCCAGGGCACCACCCCCGGCAACGAGCCCAAGAAGATCGGCTCCGGCCCTTCTTCCGCCTGCAAGTACTCTACCCTCAAGGCTTGCTAAGCGTCTCGCTTCGCTTGGTCTTCGTCTTGGGTCTCTGGTCGCTACGGTGCATCTCTCATGCGCTCAGTCTCTGTGAGACGCGAGTGAACTTCGTTTTACTGGTTAAAGAACGGGGAAGGAAGACAACGAACCACGACTGTTTCTTTTCTGTGGTGTGTAAGCTGATGCGCATTCACTGGGCCGCTTGGCCATTCTGTGTACATATGAACATGGGGTCAGTGTATTTAAACAATATAATCCTCATGACTTGAGTCAACATACCTCGCAATCTCATTCTCGGTGATTCTTCCAAACAATTTTCCACGACAACAAAAACGCGTTCCCCGCAAAACGTCAAAATAAACTTGATGGTCGGATCTTTAAATGCATGTCATTGCAGACGCCTCCACCGGGATGAACTTGGCTACCCACAAAGTCTAATGCTAAGATGTTAAACGACGGCTATCACGGCACGCTCTGTCTTCCCCGGACGGATGAACGGCACCCACGGCAACAACGGCACACACAACCGAGCCAAGATCATGGAACGCGTCAACTTCGAGCCAAGTCTGCATCGACCCCGGTTGGGTCTCCAGAATAAAACAAATAAAGACTGCCTGTTCTCCCGCATTTTTCTGCTCACTGTGGTGAAATGCTCGGCCAATTTGTGCGACAAAATTTTCAACCAACGCAACTTCTTGCACCATGCAGCAACCTTTTCGAAGACCTCGACATTCAATCGCGATGCCAAGCGTACACGAATTTGCAGTCACCATTCAATAGTCAAAGCGACGGAACCAAACGAAGCCAGCGATTTCATCGATGCCTCTAGTCTTCGACGCTCACGAACCCATCCGATCCTATCCTCTCTCCCAACGACCAGTCCGCCCCGTTCTCCGGACAATACTTAGCCAGGCTGCAATGGCTTCCTTCAACTTTGGAGCCGATGGAAAATTCCGTCCAATCGATTTGTGTTCCCATACAAAAACCCTTGGAGGGTTTGACAAAGGCTACGGTGCAACCAGCGGCCCTTCCTTGGCTGTGCCCTTCTTCGGCCCAAGAAACATGAACCCTGGATCTCCAATCACACCCACGGTGAAGACTCTAGATTGGTCCTCCGCCCGATAAAACCAGCCCAGCCGGAACTTCAGGTCGGCCACATGGTCGTAAAGCCTTTTGGAAGACAGCCGTTCCACGTCGTCTGGAAGATATGCCCAGATATTCGAGTCCTTGAGCAAGACAAACATCGCCGCCATGCTATTGAAACCACTTGGGGCAAGTCCTTTCACGTCCATATCCAGCGGCAGAGCTTTCCGTAGGTAATGACGCGACGCTGTGGAGAGCAGCGCCCAAATGTCAGTCAGAACTACTGATGCCATTATTGTGGTAAGAGCCCAGGCCACCCCCGACTTCTGTCTGAGACGACGTCGCTCGTTGTCAGTAATCGTTGCGTTGAGCTTCGGAAGGCCGTTGAGTGGAGGAGCACGGTCTGCAGAGCTCTCAGTCATGGTGAAGCGATTTTCGAGGTTGGCTAGTTGGGCTGCGACGAGGGCGTAGTTGTGACCAAGTTTCTTGACGATGGCGTCTTCCTTTTCTGAGTTGCGAAGGTCTTGGGCTGAGAACGGGCCGTGCGGTTCAAATAAGACGCCAAACTGATCGTTCTTTGAACCAGCGAGTTCCCAGTCCAGTTCCACTGATGGCTGGGCGCTGCCTACGGACAGGTCGTCAAACTCGTAGCCAATTGGTGGAATGTTGAAGGTAGGGTCCAACGGTCTCATGGTTGACTCATCTGGCCTCGGTGGTCTCGTCGAATCCAACACAAAATCCCCGTTGAGAACTTTGAGGTTCACTTCGGTGGCAACTTCTTCCCAGGTGTAGTTGCATCTCCATATTGTGAGGTCGTCGAATTGATGAGTTGAAGCGTTGTAGACGCCCCAAGCATAGGTTTCTGTTCTCGAGAACGTGTATGAGTGGCCGTAAGCATCGAATTCAAGACCCAGCCCGCAAACGTCATTTATCGTAAAGAGATTATACGGAGAGGCAAACTCCTCAGCGAAGTGTATATCTCTAGGCCCCCCGGCAATTTCACCATCCTCCCTGGTGTCTCCCACATTGACTGCGTTCGTCAGCTCAGCTTGGCGACCGTCTGGACAAGTAATGAACTCAGACACATATATATCTCTGAAGAGAGAAGGACCTCCATGATTGACAACCCTGTAATCTTTCGGCTGGACGCTTGAACACTGAGATCCCAATCTGACAGCTGGTGCTGCCATTGTGAGTGAGACTCTCTCAGAAAGGTTCATATCCTTTGGGCTTCTAAGAGTGGGAAACACCAGATTCGCAAATGTGTTCTGCGGATAAACCAATGTTGGATCATCTTGATATAGTAGAAGGCTGCTGACCAGTCTTCGGTTGTTCGTGGATAAATCGAGGCTTTTGGAGGTGTTCTCTATCCTGAAAGAGCCCAGCCATGTTTCCTGTTGAAGCTGGAGTTCGCGAAAGTCCGGATCCACGTCAGTGAAGAACAAGCTAGAGGATAATGTCGTCAAGAATGCACATATTATAGTGACAAATTGTGAGGCGCTCACAGTCCAAGCCCGTCGTGCAACAGAGTCGAAGAGAGTGCGTAATCCTAACATGTCGAGATGTATTGTATCAAGATCCTGCACGCTACAGGCCTTGGAAGATAACATGTACAGCGTCGAAAGGCTTCTATAAGCGGAATTGCAGCAGTTCGTGTAGACGGAAATAATGAGCGCAATCAGCGCTGGCATTGAAGTCCAAAGTAAGTGAGAGTAGCCGTCATTCGTGTTTATTACAAGCCGGCCATTGGTTTCCGAGAGTTGGTGTGTGTATTGAAGGGCTGCGATAGTTGAGAACGTGAAGATAACAGACAGCGCTCTTACCCATGTCCTTAGGACGAATGGGGTAAAATCACAACCACTCCAGGTGGTCGCTGTGAGGTTTGATTGACACGCCGCCTGTTTCGCCTCGCTTTTGAAGAACAGCATGTGTCCAAGGATGGTAGAAGGATTGTGTTTCCAAACCACGTTTCTTTTATCATGCTGAAGCAGAAAGAGAATCGTAAGTAACACCAAAGCTCCATTCAATACCGCAAGGCATGCGCATACAGTAAGGTTGACAACAAGCTTGTTAACGTTTTCGTTTGTGGAACCAACAACGGTTTCTTGCGGACCGGTAATTCCACGTAGGAAATAGTGTCCAAGCAAGGGGAAAAGAGTCCGAGAAACGTTCAGAACCGACTAATAAAGCATTTCGGTAGAGTAGGATGCTATGTCGCCGACCTTTCTACTCACTAGCTCTGAGGTTGTAAAGTCTTCACCCGCTTCCAGTAGCGTCATCAAGCAGACTGGACCAAAGAATATGGTATGCGGCCGGCACAAGTTCGCGGATTCGAGCGAGTACATGCTTTCTTCGGCCATGGCCCAAAGATCCGCTGAGACAGACGATGTGTCGCTTTCTGGCACAGGTACTGCCTCGGGGCTCACCCCGTTATCTATTACTTGCACTTTCGACTTCGAAGATGTCGATGTGCAAAGAATCGCCGCGAAACTCTGAATGACTGGCAAAGTTGCTTTTCCTGGTACATTGAGCCTTGTAGAGTAAAATAATTTCTGATTGTGTTGCTGGGGTAGGTTCGAGCATGGTCTGGAGTTGGCTAGTCCGCTGTCGATATCTTGAGCACCCCACGAGCCAATCCATTCTTCGAACGTCGTGAAATTGAGAAGGACTTGGTGCCAAGGAAACCGGTTCTCAACCCTTACAGGAGACTCGCAACCTTGAAATCGGAGCTCCAACTCAACTGCATAGTAAAGAGTTTCGTTGGTGTTTGGCATCTGTTGAGGCTTAGACTCAGTGGAAGTAAAGGACTCAAGCTTCAAGCAATGCATATCTGCAAAAAGGCCATCAACCTCGACTGTCAAAGGCGCGTCTATGCTTCCTCTGGCAGTTGCGTTCCGTGGTATGAATGTTTGGTACGCGGTATCCTTAGTAACTCCGAAAGGACGCTGCAGCTGGAAGTTCTGCAATGCTTTGATCAAATGATATGCTCGACCATCCAGAACCCTTATGTCGTTGAATCTATCTTCGATAGAGTCGAGAAATCTGACATCAACTTCATTCGCAACTTTGACGCTGTTGACGCTAAGCAAGCCTGGGGCAAGGACGATTTGCGCTTTAATGAGAAGCGATGCGACGGTTGCGAGAACAACAAGAAAGTGGCGTCTTTTGAATGATTCGAAAAGAACTGCATGCGGTAGCATTGCGGTGTAGTCGAGCGCATGATCATCTTTTCTCCGTGGCAAGTGCTGCTGTAGAGCAATCCAAGGCATGTATCGAAGAGCTTGAAGCTCGACCCTTGACCAAAGGACTGAGATGGCCGTGAGAACTAATTTGGAGCTCGCATGTTAGGATACAGAATCGATCTTTGAGTTTCGGGCAGAACGCCTACCTGCTACCGGGCCGAAACGCCACCCGGATGCGTAGTCCGTTTGAGTCATCACAAGGCCATCGTGCTTTTGGGAATAAGCGAAGACGCCGAAAAGACCAGCAGTGCTAACAGCGAAGACGCCCATGAAACTGAACAAAGATATGGGTCGAAGCCAGAGTGGACTCCAGGTTGTAACTTGGCCGGAGAGAGTCCTCAGTTCGTCCTCTTTCCCACTACTGTCATCGGCATCAGTGAGGGTTGGGTGGTCGACATGTGATGAAAGGCGTTGATATTGCAAACACAACCCTCCTGGGTGTTCTGAACTAACGCCGCTATTGACCTCGTGGGTCCCTGAGCCAGTCTCGTCTTGAATGCTTTGGGCTGAAGTGCTGCCGTCTGTGAAATAAAGAGGGCTGGTCTCATTGTCCTCGGGATGAAAATCGCCAGCAACATCATTTACTCCGATAGATTGTTGGCCATGCCCCGTCATTATGGGCAGTTGTTTTTTTAGTATTTTCTTTTCTTTTCTTTTCTTTTAATCTGACAGAATAATGTGTTACGCAAAGTTCACACGTGAGCGTTCAATTTAGAAAACGAGAGTATTTCAACGGCTTACAGAAAGATCTTTCCGCAAAGTTGAAAGGCGTTTGCGATGGTTGTTGCAGGAAAAAGATGACCTGCAGGTGACGTCCACGGGGTTGATCAACAAGAATAGTGAGGTCAGCTATGATAGAAAAGAGTTGATAGGTTCAAACCCCGAAGAATAGCTCTGCTGATGACGTAGAAGCAATATTCTGGCATTGTGTACAGCGCTTGATGAAAGATTCAGCTACACGCCAAGTTACGTGTAAGACAGGAGGTGAGATTCAACCTGCAGGCTGCTTAAACGAGCTTACTTCGCCTCTCCAAGCCAGCTGAAAAGGACTGAGAAGCAAGGGTGCATAGAAGATCGAAGCGAATCAGCTGTAAGTAACGCTTTGGATTTAAAAACACCAGGGATTGCACCGTCGGGGTTCCCGGCCGTCTTGAATGATCATCCTGATTCTATCGATAACGCGCATGCACCCTGCAAAAGGACTACCTCAGAGTCGTCCGATACGCAGCCGCTGTAGAAGAGAAGATTAGCGGACCTTAGGTGTTACGATTATCAATTATTTTCAAATTCCGGAACGAAAACCATGGAATTTTCGACTCGCTGAGATAATGTCAGCCAGATCAATCATAATCACTCTGGTACGTAAATATACTTTAGCTGCATTGATGGAGCTCTGGCACCTCAATCGACAGTCTTCTCTGGAAGGAATATTGCAAACATCTTCCTTCAAAGGTGAGCTCCTAAAAAGGTATTTAGAGGTATCTCAGTAGTTAAAGGCTACATTTGGTTTCTCACAATGTCCTAGATTAGCCAGCTGACCGTTTGCAACTCCTTATTACGCCTGCATGGATCCCTCAGCGTGTAGAATATGGCGCGCTTCTGTTTGCTAGGGCTTCACGAATCCGCTAGCTAAGCGAGCGAAGAAGCCTGGGTGGGTCCTTCAATACTACTTAGTCAGAATGGTCAAATGTTGTAATCAGCCAATCAGATCTCAAATCCCCGATGGCACAATTGGCTAGCGCGTCAGACTGTTAATCTGGAGGTTGGTGGTTCGAGCCCACCTCGGGGAGTCACAGCGGTTAAACTCCGCCACGCATTGAGACTTTCTTTTTGATTTTCTGTTTGTTGATCTGTGTTGTACGGAGTACAAACAGGCCCGTCCGTGGTTGAGATCCGACTTGATCTTTCCCTATCTTATTACATAGTGAGCTGATGACGAAACTTTTAAAGTTTTTAACGCGAGACCGCCTACTTCCCCTGTGTTATGCTGACTACTTTCCTGGCTATTCTACCTTATCTTCGTTGTTGCTTCTATCGTCGTCGTCGCTACTGTCGTCTCAGGCAGGAGAAGTTAAAAACACAGGAAATATAGCCGCGCAGGAAAAGGAAATACAGGCGGTCTCTTTAATGCCTCCGTAGGTTGTAAGTATTCGAGGTCTTGATGCAGCAATCTCCTCAATCTTTTGATAGGCTCTCGAGCATTGCGTTGAGCCTTTGCTGAAGTCTACGACTGCGCAAAAGTGCAAGTGACCTTGGGCGCTGTTCACTTCCCTGAGTTGAGCACGTATTTTACTTGAACTTTTCAATTGAAAAATGTACTTCTAATCTAAGGCAGTGTGTATCCACCATCAATCACTAGATTGGCACCTGACACCGTCGTTAGGACTGAAGTCTCCAATATCAAATAGGACAACATACCTGTCATATAACTGCTGGCGCTGCTAGCGAGGTACACATACGAACCCTTCAGCTCAGCAGGCTCGCAAAGTCGGCCTCCGGGAATCATGGAGAACCATTGCTTCCTCCACTCTTCAGGGTGCACAGAAAGCACTGCATGTGTCAGCAAAACGCTCAACAAAGTCCGAACAGGAGGACTCACTATCCGTCGCAATGAACCCAGGAGACACACAGTTCACCCGTGCAAAGTCCACCCACTCCACCGACAACGACTTGGCAAGGTGTACCACCGCAGCCTTGCTCGCGTTGTAAGCCGCCTGCCTCTGCGGCACATTCACCAAAATAGCCGACACTGACGCGGTGAAGATAATGCTGCCCCGTCCATCACTGCCCGCCTTCAGCTGCCTCTCAAACACCTTGGCCGCCGCCTGCGCAGTCCAGAATGCACCGTGGAAGTTGACGTCCAGCATCTCACGGAACCTGTCCTCAGGGTACTCGATAGCAGGGATGTGGTCCGCAATACCGGCGTTGACCACGACAATGTCCAGCTTTCCGCCGCCAACCTCTTTCGTCGCGGCATCAATGACAGCCTCGACCTCAGATCGCACCTTGACATTGCACTTGTATGCCTTCACCAACACGCCGTTACCAGACTTGGACAGAGCAGCGGCCGTGGCATCAGCCTCCTCCGGAGGCGTGCTGGTGTACGTGATGGCAACCTTGGCGCCGGCCTCGGCGAGACCGCGGGCGGCTTCGAGGCCGATGCCTCGGGTGCCACCCGTGACGATTGCCGTCTTCCCGGCGAGGTCGAAATGGGAGGCGACCGGCGCTGCGGAGTTCGGGTGGCTCGGAAGGACCATGTTTTCTGCTGCGTTTGGGGTATATATTCGGGAATGAATGCAAGTCCTTGATACTTGGTGATCTTGTTCGAGCCGAATGGTCTGACTATGGACCAGGGCAGAGACACCAGGCAAGTGCCGGGGGATTTTGTACCGGGCCATTTGCGGGAGATGTGGGTCCGGCCGCCGTCATGGCTTTTGGCGGCGAATCAGGCATTCGGTCGACTGTCGTCCGGAGCGGAAGGGGTTGCTTCGGTGCGGGGAAGCTGGGGAAGCGGACATCTGCCACCCCTGTCCGAAGGTTGGGCATGCCGGGACACTTGCGCACCTGACCGCAAATGCTGATGTTTGCTCAGGCTTAAGCTAGCTTGATATCAGAGGGCTCATTGACAGGGGACAAGCAACTTCGATAAATTTCTTCGGGAAAGTCCAGGGTGACATATGTTCATGATCATGATCATCTTCGGCAAAGTCAGAGGTCTGCTTTCAAACACAACAGACACACATTTTTTTTCAATAGGTCTAGGCTTGGCATTATGAATTCGACATTTCAATTGACATAAATACTTCACGACGTGAATGACAACTTTCTTAGGTATGGTGTGACTGCAGTTATCTATGACACAAGGCGAAATAGGTTCATGTTAAGGGTCATGCCAGATAGATCAACGTTGTGCTACGACCGCAAACATTTTATCATCATGATGTTTTTATTCTTCATCTATGCTAGCCTCTATTTTGGTACACCTTGGATGACGACCTTCAAAGTGTCCTCCTTCGCCTGCCTTACAACCTCGAAGGCCTCGACGGCCTCCTCGAACTTGTAACGATGAGTGATCAACTTCCTTGGGTGGACCTTTCCTGACGCTACCAAGTTCACAGCCTCAGGGTAGCATCCCGTCGTGTACCTGATCGAGCCCTTGATGTTCAATGCACGAATACAAGCAGTGGTGATGGGGAACACGACATTCTGAGTCAAGTTAGTGGACTGCCCGCAAATGCCGACTGAAGTACGCTTACCTCCTTGCCCATCCCGGCTTGCACATAAGTCCCGCCCTTCTTGGTAGCAAAGACACCAGCCTGGATGCATGGCTCAGCACCCGTGCACTCCAGAACCATATCAGCTCCCTCTCCGAGACCGTAATCCCTGAGAATCTTCTCACCAATGGCGCGAGAAGCATCAACAGGGTCCTCTGGAGCATTGGGGAGCTTCTTTGACACGTAGACATCGTCAGCTGCAAATTCCTTGGCAAACGCCGCGCGAGACTCGGAAATGTCCACTCCAATGACCTTGCTCGCGCCGTAGGCCTTGGCCACGGCCTGGCAAAGAACACCAATGGGTCCGCAGCCGAAGACAAGCACTGTTTGGCCGCCCTTCAGCTCAGCAACCTTGCAAATCTGCACCGCAACAGCAACCGGCTCCACCAGCGCGCCGTCCTCGGAAGTCATGTGCTCAGGGATAGGATAGGTGTAGTCGCCGGCGACGATGTAGTACTTCTGCAGGGTACCGTCCCATGGAGGTGTCGCCGCGAAGACGGTGTCTGCACAGAGATTGTATGCGCCGGCCCTGCAGTGATCGCAGCTTTGCTGAGTTAGAACATGCCTATTCTCAACGTCCATTACGGTTGAAACTCACTGCCTGCATGGGACACCGGGCTCAATAGCAACCCGGTCGCCGACCTTGACATTCTTCACCTTGCTTCCGACTTCGACAACGGTCCCGGCACTCTCATGGCCGAGAACGATGGGCGACTCGAGGATGAAGTCGCCGATCCGGCCGCGCTGCCAGTAGTGGACGTCGCTGCCGCAGATGCCCGTCTGCTCAATGTGAACGCGCACATCGTACTCATCTCTGAGCTTGGGAACCTCGCGGTTCTCGAACGAGACGTTCTTGATGGAGTGGAGCACGAAGGCAGGGTTCTGCGGAAGATTAGCGTTGGCTGCGAAGCCAGGGTGTTGTCCATCCAGCTTACGATTTCGGACATCTTTGAGGTATGGTGAGCTTAATTTCGGTTCGAACCCTGATGGCAGTGAGACTTGGGATATTGTCGATTCGCTTGAGCTCTACCAAGCTTGGAAGCATCTTATTTGTGCAGGTGGGAGACGGCCGTGACGTCGACGCGGGGTACTGCGGCGCCGGCCGGAGCGGGGCCGCCGCCAAACGCCGAGCTGAGTCGGGCGACTGTTGCCCGATGTGCGCCAATCAGCATGACCTGCCCTCCGCTCGAGCGCCATTTGTTCTCTTGCTTTCCCATCCGGATATTTCTTGGACTCGATTCGTTGGTGCGCCATTGTTGGCTTTGCTAGGGTCAATGTTACCGCTCTGAGGCGCCCATCAACAGCCCGAGAAGTCTAGACCACACCCACACTGTCACCATGGAATCCACCTACCAATCATTGGTCCAACGCATCCTTTCCAAATGGGAAGAAAAGAAGGTTTCCTCTTCCAGCGCACCGGATACCCATCCCCGTCTAATCATCGCGCTGGCGGGGCCACCGGGCTCCGGCAAAACAACCATCGCTCAACGCGTCGTCTCCGCCATCAACAACTACCCCGGACCCCACCCCAAATCCGTCGTCATGTCCGCTGACGGCTTCCACTTACCCCTGGCAACACTCCGCGCACTTCCGAATGCTGCGGAAGCGATCGCCCGGCGCGGCGCGCCGTGGACCTTTGACGGACAAGCTGTCGTCGAGATCGTCCGCGAACTACGGGTGTCTGCCGGCCACCAGCCGGTCTTGGCGCCTACATTCGACCACAAAGTCAAAGACCCCGTCATTGGCGGGTTCACGGTGGATGCCGATGTCGACGTCTGCATCGTTGAAGGGAATTACTTGCTTGCGGACGAAGAGCCTTGGGGTCAGATTGCTCCGCTGGTGGATGATCGTTGGCTGGTCAGAGTTGAGTCGGCACTGGCCCGTACAAGGGTTGCGAAAAGACATGTTGCAGCCGGTATTGAGGACACTATGGAAAAGGCATTGCACAGAGCAGAGACTAATGACATGGCCAATGGGGAGTTTGTTGCTAAACGGAGCGAAGGCAGATATGATCTCTTGATTGATAGTGTCGAGGAGTTACCAAATTAGCGACTAAGACTTGAATACCATTTCGCGTTGTCTCGGCTCGTTTCGTGTGTAGCATGCAAAGTGCTTGGCGCGTATGTGTATCAGTGAGGGTGAGAGCACTCCGTCCGGAACATATGCCCGCGGGTGTCGGTGCGGGCCACCCGAGCCAACATCCGGGGATGGCTTCGAAGAGCTTGGCATGATCTCCCGGGTACCAAGTAGGTCTGAAGCAGAAATCACGCATGACTTCTATTTGAACCCTAGTCGCAGAGTCTCTATAGACAGAACTCCCATTCTAAGATCACACACATCTCCTTCGTAAAGACATCAGCATACTGTCTACAGCAACACTAGTCCTTCATTGATACCCAAATAATCCTAACTCACATCACCATGACCACCAACGGCACAACAAACGGCACAAGAAAGTCCATCCGGGCTCCCAACCCTCCTGTTCAAGACAGCGTCTTCAAGCAATTCCGCCTCGATGGACGCACTGTCATCATCACGGGTGGAGCAGGCGGCATTGGTCACGAGATCGCCAAGGGTCTCGCCGAAGCCGGCGCCAACGTACGACCATCCTGACCATATCCCCTGAACATCGCACATGGCTAAACCTCCCGCAGATCGCTATTTGGTACCACACATCCTCAAAGGCAGCCAACTCCCTCACCGAGACCCTCATCAAGGACTTTGGCGTGAAGTCAAAGTCCTACCAGGTTGACGTCCGCAACTACGCCGCCGTCGAGGCCGCTGTAGCGGAGGCTGTCAAGGACTTTGGCCGTCTGGATGTCATGATCGCAAATGCCGGCGTGCCCTCCAAGGCAGGTGGTCTCGACGACAAGGTCGAGGACTGGGACCACGTCCGCGCAGTGGATTTTGACGGCGCGTACTACTGCATGAGGGCGGCTGGCCTGATCTTCCGCGAGCAGAAGAGTGGCGTCGGAATCATCACGGCGTCCATGAGCGGCCACGCCGCGAATGTCCCGCAGGAGCAGAGCTGCTATAACGCATGCAAAGCCGGAACCGTAAGTTCGATTTCGTTCGTCTGACATGCCACCGCCCGGACTAACGCCGAGCTTTTGCAGATTCACCTGGCCAAGTCTCTGGCTGTCGAGTGGGCTAAGTGGGGAGGCCGCATCAACTCCGTCTCCCCCGGTTACATTGATACGGCCATCTCGGGTGACTGCCCATTCGAGATGAAGGAGGAGTGGTTCAGCCTGACGCCGCTGCGCAGGGATGCTGATCCGAGGGAGTTGAAGGGCATCTACCTGTACCTCGCCAGTGATGCTAGCTCTTATACCACAGGAGCTGACTTTATCATCGATGGTGGTTACACCGCTCGGTAGATATCTCATGCTAGTTAATAACGAACTTTTGCGCTGAATCTGTCTCAAAAAACAAAGAGTCTGCCGTTTCTCAAGTATATGTGTTCAAGTTGCTATGGAAGGCTGGGTTTGGGCATACGTATGGCTGTGAATTATGTAAAAGCTTTTAAATAACAATCTCGGGTGTCAAATGATGCATAGAATCAATCACAGACTTTATGTTCGTAGTAGATGATTCGATTGTGTGAAGTAGTAGCTTGACCGCACTTTCACGTGCGAGCCTATTTTATGGACAATAAGTTGAACATATGGTTACCCTGGTGGTTTTCAACTCTCACGCGCTTAGAAAACTAAGGTTCACGTCTTTGACTCCGACAGCAACTCTAGAGCGTCTTGGCCGGACAGCAGCTTCAAGCCTTCACTTTCATGCACAGTCGTATGGCTCAGTTTCTTACTTTTTCCAACCTACTGGAAACTAAACGTTATGTCCTTCATGAACGACAAGCAGCGGAATCCACTTTCATTCTGGCTTGCGTGTGCACCTCACAAATTCCCAACAACACCCGGCCTCCTGTGGGCCAGATCCCAAGCGAGCATGGACGATGTCCGAGACCAAACACCGGTCTCCGATCAAGAAGAACCATCATCACAGCCATCATGACCACAATTCAACTTTGAAGACATCACGATGTCGCAACAGGTCCCGGTTCAACCTCGTTCTCACCCGATCATCGAAAGATCCCAGCAGCCGGGCCTCGCTCACCCCTGCCCAGCCTTCCACGCATGCGTCTTATTGCCGGGCAGAGCCTGCACGGGCTAGGCACCATCAGCCCCCGTCTAGTGAGGTTTTTAGTGAGGGTGACAGTCGTCCGTCGTCCCCGCACTGCCAAACAGCCGCTCTGGGAACGTTCTCTCCGCAAACATGACTCGTGGGCAAACAGATGCAGCACCGCAAGCACGATGATGCAACAGGTCGCACCGCGCTGTACCCCATGGTCCAATTCCCCCCCGTATTCCACCGACCCATCAACCACGTTAATGTGGGGTAAGAGGGAACATGCGGAGTGGCTAGCTGGGCGCGTAGGTTCCAATTACCAGCCGTCTGGGTGAGTGAGCGTGTCAACATCACGCTACCTGGGAATCATCACCTCGTTCCTCGTCCATGTAGATATAAATCTCCTGCGGGACCCGCATGATCTCGCATCGGGCGTTTCCTTCGAGCCTTTTGGTTTCTCATCAATTTCATTCCATATTGGATGTCTTCATATTCTTGTTAGTCGATGCCAGGCACGCGACCTCGGATTTAAGTAAACATGAAGGACGAGCAGATTGTCGGTGCCGCTTTGGCTGAGGTCCTCCCCAAGACGGACAAGTACTGGTTCCAGCAATCGCATCTTTTGAGGTTGAACCTGCTTCTCTTGATTCCTCTCTTGTCATCATCGGTTGCCGGATATGATGGTAAGTTGCAAAAGCCTCTCGCATAGGTCTGCCAGCGTCTAACAGGAGCAACTCACAGGATCGTTGATGAACGGGCTGCAGTCGCTTCAGCAATGGCGAGAGTATTTCGGACATCCAACCGGTGTGAAACTGGGCGTTGTCAACGCCGCGCAGTCCATCGGTTCCGTTCTGGCTCTTCCAATCATCGGATACCTCGCGGACCGCTTCGGCCGAAAGCCTGTCCTCCTTTCGGGCATCATCCTCATCATCGTTGCGACGATCATCCAGTCGACCTCGATCAACCTGCCGATGTTCATTGTCTCTAGACTCGTTGTCGGATTTGGAGGCATGTTCGTGGTCCATCCAAGTCCACTGCTCATCGCAGAGTTGGCTTATCCGACACACCGCGGAAAGTACACCTCGGCATACTGGACTATGTATTACCTAGGTGAGTCTGAAGACCGATACCAAGCGTAAAATGGCAAACGTTCTGACCAGGATTTCTCTAGGTGCTATTCTAGCTTCATGGACTACATTCGGCTGCCAGGATTATGCTACCGAATGGTCGTGGCGAATTCCCAGCATCCTGCAAGCTGGCTTCCCCATCGTCCAGCTCTGCTTCTACTTCATGGTCCCGGAGTCTCCCAGATGGCTCATCGCAAAAGAGAGAACGACCGAGGCAGCTGCAATTCTCGCTCGATACCACTCCGGTGCCCAAGACCCAACCGAAGCCCACACACCCCTCGTCCGCCGCGAAATCGCCGAGATCGTACAGACAATCCGACAAGAAAAGCTGGCGGAGACCACCGGCTGGGCGGCTCTTGTATCCACCCCGGGCAACCGCAAGAGAACCCTCATTGCCGTATTGGTCGGCGCAATGGCTCAGTGGAACGGCATAGGTGTGGTGTCGTATTACCTGACTTTGGTGCTGAACACCGTGGGCATCACCGACACATTCGACCAAACACTCATCAACGGCCTCCTTCAAATATTCAACTTTGGCGCCGCTCTCAGCGCGGCATTCCTTGTGGACCGTCTCGGTCGGAGAACTCTCTTTCTCTGGTCAGGGGTTGGCATGTTCTTCTCCTATATCGTCTGGACCGCCTGCTCGGCCGTCAACTCGGACACGGGCTCCAAACCCGCGGGCATCGTCGTGGTCGTCTGTCTGTTCACGTTTTACTTCCATTACGACATTGCGTACACCCCGCTTCTCATGGGATATCCTACCGAGCTCTTCTCGTACTCGCTGCGGTCCAAGGGTATCGCGGTAGAGCTGCTTGCGATCTACGGCTCGCTCATCATCCAGGCATTCGTCAACCCCATCGGGATGGAGAACATTGGATGGAAGTACTACATTGTGTTCTGTTGTCTATTGGCGGTCTTCCTGTTTATAACTTGGTACCTCTTCCCGGAAACAAAAGGACACAGTTTGGAGGAGATTGCAGTCATCTTCGATGGGCCACAGGCTGTTGAGAACTTTGAGGGCAGCTCGGACATCAAGGAGGAAAAGATTCTGGCTAATGGCGGTGTAAGCACTGCAGTACACAAGGAGGAAGCGTAAGGGGCGTGATTTTTAGTTATTTATCTTGTGAACCTCCTCCACATATTCAAAGGAGGTTTGAAGTATTGAGTTCTACAAATATAACAAGACCAAAAGTTCACTTCGCAACGACTCACGATTACCTGCATCCGCAACTAGCTCTTGGGACACAAGTTCAATATTGAAGCCGTCTCAAACCCTTCATGATATTGGTCTTCTAAAAACCTTCATAAACCTGCAGAGGCAACTTTCAGCTATTCTCGATGAAATCCAACAGCCGATAGCATTGCCCGAGCCTTCTGTCCCGCCAAAGTGCTTCCCCAGCCCGTCGTGCCCGACTAACACCGGCGGAGCTCGGATTACAAGGATGCTTGGCCCAGGCCCCCTGATCGCGATCAGTCATATTGTGGATCACCACAGCGCAAGCGTGTGGAGAAAATGGCGGGGTTCATGCACCTGGAGACTCGCTGGAGTTGAAGGTTGGAGAGGACCGCCTGGGGGCCGCGCTACCCAACGTGAGGAGCAACAGAAACAGCCTCCGACCTCGTCCGACCCGCAGCCACCACCATCAACCCACACCACAAACTTCCGCTCCTCCTCATTTCCGTGTCTCCTTGCTGCATGCTCGAATGTTATGACGGCCGCATACCTACCCAGAGAACGGACGACAACCGCCCTGCCTCCGAGAGCCGGCCAACGTCACTCCGGGACCGCCA